TCAGCTGCCTATAAAAGCAAGTCTCCACCAAATTCTTCAGTTAGACATTTTTGCTGAAAAGAAATTAAAACATTCAAGCTCTCATACTTTCATATTCATTCTTAGAATTAATTTCATTGTACTTAAACTTAAGAGAAATATCACTGTTGTGATAAAAGCTTTTTAGAAGCATTCTTACTCTTGTATTAGATTTACATTGATTGTAAAGGATTTCCTTAAGAGGATTCAGTTGGAATCAATAGCTCTTGAGAAGACTAAAAACAGTTGTTCTTAGGTGTTACTATTGTAATCTGTTTGATTAAATAGTGGATTAAGTCCTTGTTTGAGAAAGGCAAATCACTCTAGGAAGGATGGACTGGAGTAGTTGAGTTCAACGAACCAGGATAAAAATAATTGTGTTTTAATTCTAAGTTTTAATCTTTCATACTTATTCAACCCCCTTCTAAGTATTATCTCACCTTCACAGACATGTCGCAAATGCCAGATTTATGCAAACAAAGTTCATATGTCACCGCTTCCTCTTAATGTGTTGACTTCGCCGTGGCCTTTCGCCATGTGAGGTATAGATGTAATCGGACGCATCGAGCCAACTGCCTCCAGCGGACACCGTTTTATCTTAGTGGCCATTGACTACTTCACTAAGTGGGTAGAAGGCGTATCCTATGCCAATGTCACTAAGCAAGTAGTGACTCGCTTCATCAAGAAGGAAATTATCTGCCGATACATAGTTCCCAATAAGATCATTATGGATAATGGTTCGAACCTCAACAATAAGATGATGAAGGAGTTGTGTGAAAGCTTCAAGATTGAACATCATAACTCGACGCCATATCGTCCCAAAATGAATGGAGCTGTTGAGGCAGCAAATAAGAACATCAAGAAGATTGTCCAGAAGATGGTAAAAACTTATAAAGACTGGCATAAGATGTTGCCATTTGCTCTGCATGGCTACCGCACTTCACTACACACTTCCATAGGGGCAACCCCGTTTTCTATCATATATGGCATGGAAGCAGTGCTGCCTATTGAAGTAGAGATTCCCTCCTTGAGGATTTTAGCAGATGTTAAGCTAGACGAAGTGGAGTGGATACAAGCCAGACTCGACCAACTTAACCTCATCGACGAGAAGTGCATGACGGTCATCTGCCATGGTCAACTATACCAGAAGCGGTTGAAGAGGGCCTTTGACAAGAAAGTTCGCCTACGATACATCAAAGCAGAAGATTTGGTATTGAGGAAAATTCAGCCAACTTACGTTGATCCAAGGGGTAAATGGACACCGAACTATGAGGGTCCATATGTAGTGAAAAAAGTTTTCTCTGGCGGAGCCTTGATTCTTTCAACCATAGATGGTGACAATCTTCCATCCCTTGTGAATTCAGATGCAGTTAAAAAATATTATGCCTAAGAGATAGACCTGGTGGACCAAAAAGAAAATCCACGCAAAAATAGGTGTCCTGATGGATCATAAAAAGTAATGGTTCAGGAAAAATTAGGGACATAAACAAAAAGAAAAAAAATATATCTTGGTAGGCTGAAAACCCGAAAGGGCGGCCTAGGAAAAAGTTAGGGATTCAAAAGGCAAAACATCATCTTGAAAAGACATGCGAACTTTCCTCCATGATTATAAAAGATCCGACTGGGAGAGGTCAATTCAATTGTTGCGCTCAGAAGCAAGGCATAAGGGGTCTTCAGAGATATATGGGTCATAGCAGATTTGAAACTCGACAGAAACCGATTTCAACATTGTCGTTGTTGTTTTTTATATTTCTTTCAAAGCAATTACCTCTTTTAGGAATTGCCTCCTTTTGTAATTTTTCCCGTTTATGGGTTTTCATCAATACAAATTTCTTTCATCAAATAATTTTTCTTCTATTTTTATTATATGTTTGCAAGATTTGTTTTATTGGTGATACGTTTTGCGCATAATAGCATTGTGGTAGAATGAATTAAGGGATTATTCACTCTCTTAGGATAACTAAAGGGTGATCACGACTCCGAGAAATATGCAGGAACTCTGTTTGAAATCCCGAAGGCGACGTGGCCAAAACAGAATCATCTGGCCCAGAGAAAACCGACATTAATTTGGGAGTCTTAACGTCTCTAAAACTTGATTATATCACGAAGAAATGATGTCGAGAAGTCAAGCTTGTTTCCCATCCAGTCCAAAGCCCAACCATATTTGGCACCTTGTGGTTCTGAAACCACTTTTAGCTGACATTTCTTTGCAAAACCATCTCTGGCTGACATCTTTCACCGTACATATCTCTGTTCCCTAGCAAGCTCAACCATGCTTGGCATGACCGCCTCTCCAGACCCTGTCGTATCCCCAGCAGAGTCGCCAGCTGTCGCTACTCAAGAAATGCAACGACGGGGAGGTGAGAGCAGAAAGACAGAAGAGTCACCATCGAACTTTATTTATCCCGTGAGGGGAAGGAAAACATCGAGAAAACCTCAAGAAAGGAATGGATAAGATGGTCTCACAACCATGAGAAAATTTTCGGAAGCCGATTATGCGAAGGGAATGTATTAGCACCCCTCGCATCCATCGTACTCGATGGGAACTATTTGTTTGTCTATGCGTGAAGTTATTTGCTAAAAGGTATTGCTATAAAGAGCCTTTCTCTCTCCTCTTAGAACACTCTTTATAGCAATAACTTTTAGCAAATAACTTCACGCATAGAAAAATAAATGGTTCTCATCGAGTACGATGGATGCGAGGGGTGCTAATATCTTCCCTTCGCATAACCGGCTTCCGAACCTTTTCTCATGGTCGTAGGACCATCTTATCCGTTCCTTTCTTGAGGTTTTCTCGATGTTTTCCTTTCCCCTCACGGGATAAATAAAGTTCGATGGCGACTCTTCTGTCTTTCTGCTCTCGTCTCCTCGTCGTTGCATTTTTCGAGTAGCGACACTCTCATTGTTTCATCTTGGCCATCTCATAGATCTTATATATTTGTAAATGGAACAAATGCATACGTGTATGTGGTTTGTCTAGCACACTGTTTCCATTAATTTTATATTTCAATCGAATTAGTTGAAGGCGTCAACCTATAGCTATTTAATATAAACTCGTGGATTTAACATATTTTTCAGATTTTAGAACCTGAGGAGGTTAAAAACCGCTGCAGATGAAAAATAAATCACCAATATTTGGATTTAAAAAATTCGGACATATGCAAATATTTCTTGCAGACAATATTCTTATGTGGATTTATTCGGAGATTGAAATCCAGAATTTAATAAAAATAAATGCAGATATTGAAATTCAGAATTTTTTTGGCAAAAATTAGAGGTGCCTCTCTTGATGATTTTGTTGTACAATATGTGTGTTCAAAATTTGAAATCCAAATGATACTAATGAAATTTTAAAGTTTTTACATGGTGTGTGATCACTACATATAATATAATGAAGAAAAAAATCACTGTTTGAAACGTCAAAATTTATAAATGGACAGTTTAGAATGTGCGACTATATAGGTTTTGCGGTACATATAAATTACTCGGATTGAGAGTTCCTCAAATTAGTGTGTTACAATCTCTCTTCAATCTTGAATATTATATTTGCTAAGGCCTGAGAGTTATACTCTTGCACCATGTTGTATACATTGTTTAACAGATCATTTGCTCCTTGCACGCCAAGGTTAACTTGTAACAGTTGAAAGTCGTGAAGCACATTATATCTAGCTATTGCAGGTAATGGTGGATGCCTAAACGAATATTTACCTTGGAGGAATTGTTGCGCGGATCTAGGGAGTAGAAAAGACTGGATTATTCCTCAATCCGTTATAGGTTCGACAATATCTTTCTAAGAAAGAGCAGACAAAGATGTTACCAGGACTAGATCATTTGCTCTTTGAGGAAGAGGTGAGAATCTTTGGTTGCTTTAACAGCAATGACAGTGGTTTTCCATTGGAAGGAGGAGCTAGTGGCTTTTGATGCCACCATAGTCGATGGATGTGAGGAAGAATTTGAAGGAAAAGAAATTCAAATTTGAGAGAAGTGATCAGGAAATAGAGATTTGCACTTTTGAATGGAAGAAATATGAACTTATGACGAACGAGATCTGATTGAATCCAAAGAGATATGATTGTGTAGGAATTAGATATCGATTGCCACATATGGTGTTAATGTTTCGTTATGAAACTAGAGTTGATCAATAAACAATGAGAAAAAGCTTGTTGTGTTCCAATGCTTAAGTCAGTACGAGAGTGAAAAATAATGTATGAATGAATGAATTTGAATACTAGAAGAATGACTCATTTTCCCTCTTAAATAAAAGAAGTAGTTGGCAACTGAAAGCCTAAAATGCAGTGTGGATTGTAGGCAACCATCATATTATATTAGATGACTAATAAAACTTCCATACACGTAAAATCGTTTGGTAAGAAGATAAAAAAAAATGTCTACCTATTCAACTCTTTTATTCCTCCACATTATCATTGAGCATTTATGCTTGAGACTCTGTAGACATCCCAAAATAACTTTTAATAAAATATTTTTAAATAAAAAAAAAACGAAGAACATAAAATCTAATCTATCAATAGACATTATTTATATTTTTAGATAAAAATCAAAGATTACTATTCAATTTGGCAAAAAATTATTGATAGTAAAACATTAATTAATGACTTATGGATTTATAAGGAGTAACTAAGTAACTAACAAAATTAGTCATTGAATAAGTTGATAAATATGAAATAATATATAAGATACTTTTAATCATTCTTTATACCCTTTAAAAAGTTATTATTTATATTTTTTAAACTAATATAATAAAAACAGAATTAAAATTAAAATATAAAATATTTAAAATACTTGCGAAAACAACAAAAGGATCGTAACGGAAAGGGTAGTAGTAATACAACTATATTCACTCGTAGCACGCTTTTCGCTTCTCTCACACTCACACGCTCACACTTCGTCTTCTTCCGTCGTTCCACATTCTCCATTTCTGTTCCATTCACAAACCTAAAAACTCTGCAACATTTTCCCCAAAAATGGCGAGCGAGTGCATTGTTCGTCTCCGCAACGAAGGAAGCATCGAAAGCATTCGTTACTTCGAATGCAGAAGAACCTTGATGGAAGTGCTCCGTGACAGAGGCTACAACGTTTCCGAATCTGACCTCACTCTCACTCTTCCCGAGTTCCGTTCAAAGTTTGGACAGTATCCTAAGCCTGAAGCCCTTGGTGTGATCGTTTCTCATCGCTCTAACCCCTCCAACAAGGTATGTAGTTCTATGGTAACTCTGTTTTGATAATGATAGAAATTCGTGAGGTTTGTTCATGGTTATATAGGATTATGATTCTAGCTAGTTTCGATATTGCGATTGCGTAGTGGTTTCGATTGTGAGTTGATGATGAGTTTGTGCTTGATTTTGTGATTGATTTTTGTGTATGTTTTGGAGGAATTGAAATTAGGGCATGATTGTTACCGTTTTAGATGATAAAATACCTGAAATGGATATATTCATCTTTAAGAGTTGTTCATCTTTTTGTTTCCAGTTTCTGAAAAAATGTAAATGAAAAAATTAAATTAAAACTAGTTAAAATAAGTTTCTCTTGAAAGTTGTTTTTGATAGGTTTTTTAATTTTATTTTTTAATGGTAAGCTTTTGGTGAAAGAAAAATTTGTGTTCTGGAGTTGAAATAGTTTTGGTTTTGAAATTGATTATAACTTGAAGTTGAAATTTGGAGTTTTGCAATTTTTTAATATTTTTTTGTTTCACTCACATTTAAATTCATAAATTAATATATACAAATAAAAATTATTATATGTCAAATTCACTTTTAATCAAAATTAATTTATTCAAATCAATTTTTATTACTACATAAGTGAGTACATGCTAAGGATTGTATTGGAATTGGTTTTGACTTTGTCAAACAGTGAATTAGTTGAAATAAGGTGTTTGATTTCTATGTTTGAGGCTGTAATGGCAGGTATAAGCAAGGTGTGTTGAGTCTGTAATTGCAACTTTATTTTTATTTTTATTTTATTATTATTATTTTTTTGAATTTAGTAAAGAAGAAAACAAGGTGAATTTTCTTACATTTTTGTGGAAACTTTTATTTTTAAAGTTATGTTTGGATGGATGAGATTGTTGCAAATGAGAAGGTAAAAGTTATTTATATAGGGGAATTGTTGGAGTATGTTTGGATGCATGAGTTAGTTTCTACATCAAAATATACCCTTAAAGCAATTTAGTTGGGGTAGGAAGAAATGAGGTGCATGCATGGTGATTTGGTGGGGGAATTAGGAGGTTTGGTAGTACTTTTTCAAACATATGATGGTTTCATTGGCAGAGCAGAGCATGTTTGCCTCTAAATTATGGATGTATTTCGTTGGATAGTCTCACAATTTTAATGTGCTTCTGAATCTGATTAGTTGCTTTACTTTTCAATTAGTTTTGTTTGACACGTGTTGAGACAGCAACACGATGTTGCACATGTGATTACATATAATCACTTGCGACAGTGTATTGTCGGTGCGTATTTTAGTCCTTCATAAAACATTTTTATATTATTGTTTTTCTATTTGATCAGTGGGATAATATTTGGTTGTTGTTGATGTTCTTTTTCTTCTATTTGATTATTAATATAGAAATTGTGGATGTATTTGGAGAAGTGTCCGACATTATGTAGAATAATATTCAGGGTTCTATTCATTTTTCTATAAAACTCTTTCTCTGTTTTGGCTAATAAATCAATTATTGATGAAAAACACATAACAGCCAGAATATTTTTGCCAATATGTTTTGACATGCTTATAGAATATTGAATGAGAGTGCATAGTATATATCTATCCACTCCATCCAAGATCCAATAGTTAACCTTGATGGTTTTAAAATTTTGTAAGAAGTTTTTCTGCATATAATTTGGGTCAAGTCTAACTCAACCATAACAAACCAGCCTATAAGGTGAGGGATGTCCACAATTTCTAATCACTTTTCAGGTAATATCATCCAATGTGGCACTCAATAGTTAATAATACCAGAACTGTTATCAGCTGCATCTTATGTTTTCCCGTGGAATACCTTACCCATTTGCGTGTTTTTAATCCTTTGTTACCTAATTGCTTAGCATGAGCGATTCTTTTTATATCCACACTGTTGTTTTTGACATTCTGCTGTGCAGGTGCAGGTTATATTTAGAGGAACTGATATTATAAAGAAAAAAGCATTGATGGAAATATACAGCCAGATTGTTCACCTTGAAAATCTGAGTAGGCTGATACTTGTTGTGCAAAGTAAAATGACTGCTTATGCACGTAAAGATTTGGAAATCTGTCAATATAATGTTGAGATTATACAAGTAAGCTAGCCCCTCCATAAATGTTCAGTTTTCCCTTGTAGAAATGTTTTTATTTTAGCATTGTTTAACCAATGATTGAAACAAAAGAACGATTATCTGGTTTCCTTCTTTACATTTGGGATTAAACTTGCTAACTTCAGCTCATCTATGACCAAATTAGCCTTGTATGCATCTAGATGCATACTCTCTACAGAGCTCCTTCTTTACATTTGGGATTAAACTTGTTAACTTCAGCTCATCTATGACCAAATTAGCCTTTTATGTATCTAGATCCATACTCGCTACAGAGCTCATCCAATGATATTTTCATTTCTAAGTTATAGATTAGCTGTAAGATTCCTAATTTGTTAAGTTCATATTGCATGATTTAAGATTCTTATAAAAAAAATTTGCAACTGCTAATACCACCACGGTACATTCCTTGTAGTTGAATGACTTGGTGGTCAATGTAACAAAACATGTGCTGCAGCCAAAGTATGAGATATTGACTGCTGATGAGAAGCAAGAACTGCTCAAGAAGTATAGGGTGGAAGAGAAACAGGTAAAGTTTGCAAACATGCTTATTGGCTATCTATAACTAGCAAGCACTATGTAGTAATTATTCATTTTGATTTTAGCTTTTAGATTGATTATTTTAATGCTGAAAGCGTAATACAATTGTAAAAACATAGCTTTTATATTGATCATACCGGTAATTATTTCTTATTTTTGTTGTTCTTTTTAGCTACCTCTCATGCAAAGAACTGATGCCATAGCTAGCTACTATGGGCTGGAAAAAGGACAAGTTGTCAAGATCTCTCACAGTGGCGAGATGTTTAATTCTCTGGTAACCTATCGCTGTGTTGTGTAATAGTTCTATTGCATTATGCTGCCATATATGAAACAGTCACAAGTTTTATTGTTTTAGAACCTAACATACTTGCTAGAAAGATTACAAATGGATTGGTTATTGTTTAGCAAGTTCTATTGCGAGCTCATTCTGTGGTGCCTATGTATGTTAAAAACTTGTGATGTTGGAAACTTTATGATACTCACAACATCACTTCTTACTAAGAGGCTTCATTATTCAATACTCCCACACTTTGCAAATTTCAAAAGGGATATAGTTATAAAGGGTGAGTCATATAATTTTAACAGATGAAGTCTTCATATGTTTTTGTTTCCCTTGGTATATTTTCTCATCTGACTGTAAGTACAAAAGGTGTGAAGCAAATTTTCACTACCTGCATCATAATGAATATGGTAGCAGCGTTATAGCAAAAAGGTGTGAAGCAAAATTTCACTAGCGGCAGAACTTATAGAGATTTTGAAGTAAATTTTTATTATAATAAATATTATTTTTATTTATTAAATATAAATTATATAATTAATTTAGAAATAGTGTTGATAATTTTCAAATTAGTTAAATATCAGAAAAGAATCAATAAAATCAACAAAGGTGAAGAAAATTCAGAGTTTTATTGTAAAATATTAGACAATAAACTTATTTTTAATATAAATAAATTCAAAATTACAATATTATTATTTTACGTATTTTATTAAATTTTATTATAAAATTAGAAAAAAAAATTATTTTTACAAAAAAATGAGTTAACTACACCAAGAATTATACTTATTAAGATTACTTTTACTTTTATGTCTTCATAAATGACTTTATGAAATTCCCCAGTTTCATGTATGATTTGTTGATTCTTTTATTTATTGAATTTCGTTGTCAATATATTCATAATAAATAGAAAAACTCATAAACTTATATACAAATTTATATATTTTGATGATATCTTCAATTTTTATTATATATTAAAATTGTTTTGCATGTTGTTATTAATGCATTTACTTTTATCGAATAAAAATTAATTTAATAAATATAATAAGATAATGAAATCACCAATTTCTTAATTAAAATATATTTTTAGATTATTTTGTAATTATCAATTAGTGTAATAGCTAATTTATCAAACACTCAAATTCACTTATCAGCTACCAATCATCAGCTATAAACTACTAGCTATCAGCTACCAGCTATCAGTTAATTTTACCAAAGAGAATCTAAGTAGGTCTAATAAACTAAAGGTCCCCAAAATTAAAGAAGAGATTCAAGAGCTCAACTTTTTCACTCAAATATTTTTTTTTTAATTTTAACTTTATTTAAAAAAATAAACTTTTTCAAAAATATTATTTTGTCTATTTAAAAAAACAAATATATTAAGTTATTTCAATATTTTAAATAGTTTTTCCTGATTATTTTTTGAAAAAATTAAATTAAATTAAATTTTTTAAAATTGATATTTTATTTTAATAAAAATGTAAATTCTGAAAACACAACTAAAATCTATTATTTCATTTTTTTATTTAATTTGAATTGTGACATTTGAAATAATCACAATTTACCGTGTCAAATAATTCTGTGTAAACAAACCCAATTTTTATTGTTACTGGTTTTGGTATTCTCTTTTTTGAGAAGTTTTTTACTAAATAGTTGGTTTGAATTAAAGATTAATACACATTTTATGTCACTAGGTTGCCTGAGGATGTTACTATTGAAGATGTAAGCATTAGCTTTTATCTCACTTTATCTGGAAGTACTTATCTTCCTTGCAAAAACTAATGTGGGTAATATTGTAGATTGTAGGAAACATTTTCCAAATATGGAATTATAAAAGATGTACCTTTTTATTCCTATTGAATTGTTAAATCTACAATCCTATGTTTCAAGAAAATTTACAGGTGAAAATCTGAGAATGCTCATGAAAATATCAGACCAATTATTTGAGGTTTTGGCAACTCATCACAACTTCATATGAATTTGCATGATTTAAGACTTTGATTGAAATAGGGTGAGAACAATTAGTGTTATTTATATTTGTCTAAATATAATATTATGATGGTTTTAGATATCACAATTTTTAAAAACTAGATTTATTTGGATTATTAGAATAAGGTAAATTGTAATAGTTTTAACGGACACAATTATAAAAAAAATGGATTTATTTAAATATTATTATTTTGCCAAAGTAAATTGTGGCGGTTTCAAGTGTTTAAGACTTGAGTTAAAGGTTTGTCTGAATAGTATTATCTGGACAAACATATAAGTGCGTCCAGATTTGAATTTATAGATAAGATGGAAGAGGTAATTTTAAAAATTTATAGTTTGAGAGAAACATATAATAAATTAATAAAATACTCATGTGCAATCTAATTTATAGAGCTTTTTCATGTAGGTTGTAGGTTATTTTGCCCTATACTTGTAGATCAATGAATTCAATTTGTTAATTTAGTGGATATTAGATCATTAAGTTTCCACTTATTCCCTTCAAACCTACATGACATGTATATGTATTTGCAAGTTGCCTTAGCTATGTCTTTAATTCAGAAAGAAGTTCTTAGTATTACTATGTTTCTATCTAGTACTCTTATATAAGGGTGAGTGATATTAATTCTAGAAAGATACAATAGTAGTGAAATTGAGTTCTGACTTGTGAACATGATTAAATGTTGCATGTGTAAATATATGATTGCTCTCTTCATCCTCAAGTTGTCTTGATAACACATTCAAGTGGTCCACTTATCACTTTGAATAATCCCAACATGCTTATTAGACATCATGTACTTCATACACATATACAATGTAGACAAAATGACTCCTAGGAGGTTGAAAGAGGGTCTCCCTATGATCATGTTGTATGAGGAATGGGCGTTTATCATGAGATATTTTACCTTGGTCATATCCACGCTTTCCTCCATTTAGAACACAGTTTCTCAGGGTGATGTACCCCTCTACCTGTACCTGTTCACTTGAGAATTTAAATAAGGAACCTTAGAAAGCTTTGAGGTCTTCGAGTTCTAGGTAGAGTCTCTCAAAGGCATCCTAGTGGAGGATATCCGCAAAACTTCCTATATGAAATACCACTTATTTAATTTCCCAATCATCACACCTCAGAGTTATCATTACTAGGTCATTGTCATGGATATGGATTCTATAAACATCCTTCCCATAGAAGGTGATCTCAGACTCCATAGTTTTCTACACGCCTAACATAGAGCTAGCAGGTGAACCTTCTACGATCACAATGACGTGCATATCTTCTACGAGCAGAGCTAGTATCTCTGCCCCAAGTGAACCCTTATATTATAATGTTAAAGGTATGACACACAAGTTTGTCTTCATATCTCTTTCTTGGATCTGAAGCTCCCAAAGAGATCTAGAGCCTCCTGATGATTGGTCGGATCCACCTCAAACATATTTCTTTAGGCTACTTTACTAGATGAGGCGTTCAATATTCTTCTTAAGCTGGTAATAATCTTTTGTGTAATGGCCATTGATCCTATAAAATTTACACCACCTGTTAGGTCCAGGTCCCGTAACATCTGATTTAGGGGTTGGCAGTGGAGGAATATCATGTGTATGAAGAACTTTACACCATATCTATTCATGAAGAATGTTCATAGGCGTAAAGTTTTTTGTAAGCATCCCGTTCCGATTAAAGGTTGCTTTATCTTTGACACGTGAGGTATTTTGCATTGCTACTGCGAAGAATTAATATTACCATACTTCCGCTCCTTAGCGTCCATACCATTCTTCACTATGTTGCTCTCATTGACCTTTATGTAACATTTGAGGCGTGTCAATACCTTTTCCTTGAAAGCGGAAGGTCTCTGGGCGAGGGATTCATTAAAATTCCCAACCTTCAATCCATTCTGGAAGGCTCTTACAAACATCTTCTGGTTCAAGTGGATGCCCTTGATAGTTGCCTCATTGAACCAAGGAAGATACTCCTTAAAGGATTCTGAAGGCCCCTAACAAATATTAAACAGACTGGTGGTTGACATTTTCCTATGCTTACTCGACGAAAATTGGTGGACCAACTTCTTTACAAGATCCTAATATCTTGTGAATGATAATCGTGGCAGGATCATATACCACATCAACATGACGTCCCTTAAGGTGCTGGAGAGGATCTTGTACTTTAAAGAGTATAAGGCTCCAATGATCGTCATCTACATGTTAATGGATACAACATGCTCTTGAGGGTCACTTCTTCCATCAAATTTTGCGAGTGAAGGTGACTTGAAGCTTTTTGGTATTGGGCCCTCAAATCTCGTTAAAGAGAGGTTGGAGATTCAAATTTTTTTATCTCCATAATGAGATATGTCACATGTTAGCGCAATTGGAGGGTAAGGAAATTATCCTTCAAAGTTTGGTTATGACGACAAAAATTGTCCATAACGTCACACATCTCTATTATGGAGCTTGGTCGTCGCCGAAGCTATTGTTGGCTAAAGTCGTTGCTCACCTATTCACCATACTAGAAAGGATTGAAGAGGTAGGCAGTGAGTTGGTCGCTGATTACGATGGTGGTCGAGGTCAATTTTACCAAGCCTCGCGATTGGCGCCTATTTTAATTGCTAAAAAAGTACAATAATGGATAAACCCTTATTGTGTAGGGTTGTTTGAGAGTTTATAGTGTTTAGGGCTAGCTCACATATGATTGTGAGAAATTTTATATCTGGGTTTTTATGAGAGATTAGAGATCCCTATTTCATTCCAAGGACGAGGTATTTATAGAAAATTCCTTGGGCTTGGATCAAAGAGTTAGGGAGTGGTTTCCTAGGCTCTCTCCTCATTGAATGTGGAAAAGGGAGGACTTGTTCCATGTTGCCCAAGACCAAATGGGTAACCTATCGTATCACTCAGTTACTCGCATGACGTTAGCGTACTTGCTTCTTCATGGATTATCCCTTTTAAGGCCCAATAAAAGTATATTGATATAATATATGTAATTTAACAAGGAATTGAGGTGTTCATCTAAGTTGATAAAAATTTAATCAATTAAATAATCTTGAGTATAA